GGCGGCAATAAAGTTTTGGTTCAAATTGCTTTGTTCGTTTTTTATAGAATTTCCAGATTCAACATAGATTTTTTGTCCTTTATGAAAAAATAGGTAGATGACACAAAGACAACAAAAAAGGTTCTATAGTTTCAATAACAATGAATATGAGATAAATAAACAAAACTGTCATAAATAATAATCATAAAAATTTACCATAGAAAGATTGGTCTAGCGAAGAACACAAGAAGAAAATAAAAAATTGAAGTAACGACAAAACTTGATCTTCATGGAATACTAAAAAAAATTCTACTTTCTAATAGTCGAACAATGCCGATAACAGTTTGCTGTCTACGATATTGATAAAAAATGCAGTGTAGCTAACAGTACAGCTATAAATGTTGCATTTCTGATCCACTTATTTTATCCAGCAAATAAACTTGCTGTAGCACTGTAATGTTAAAGTAACTTTTTAAAAAAACTTCTTTCTTATCAAAAATTGTGATAATAGAAAAAGAAGTCTAATGCAATACAAACTTTCAGATGCTTATAGAGCAGTGATGTCATTTCCATTGCCACAAATCGAACATCGATATATATCTGTTCTCAGGACAACCTCTGTTCGCTTATCGGAACAACTGAAGCTATATTTGTCATATAGTTCAAATTTTAAAGCAAAAAAGGAAATTCTTACGTTAGCTGCTAAATATTACTCTTTTTATATTGTATACTGTATATCGAGTAACTGGTTACATTTTGACAAAGTAGGTTATGTGTGTCAGAACTGCTTAGAACAGTTGTAAGCTTCAAAGTTCTATATAGAAAAAAAATCGGAGAAATGTTGATTTTACGCAGAACTTCTTTCCTGTCGTATATCTGTCATAATTTATTAGGTTCATCAAACACTCAGAGACATCTTGAAACTGCTCGCATTACATTTTATTTTTCAGCAATTCAAATAAAATTTATTTTAAATTTGCAAACAAAGAATAAAACATAAATATGGGGGAAGCAGCTTCCAATCTAAATCAGCTGGTGGAAACATTTTCAGCTGAAAACAGTATTTTGGTTTGTCGAATAAAAAAGCCAACTTCAAAAATCAACAGAATTTTAGGCGACCGTTAAAATACACAGCCACTGCATGATATTGAGAATAACATGAGTTTATCCATAAATAAGTTTTTACTTCTATTTTCAAAACAAAAACTTCTTTTTTTATGTTCTGAAATCTCAAAAAAGACAACTTGTGAAAGTGAAAACAATCTCAGCTTTTCATATTTTGATTCGATTTTTTCAAATATAGTATTTTGAGTTAGTACTGAATGCCGATAACCTCTCCCGGATACAAGAATCTGCTGAGAAACAGTGTGTAAAAAGAAAATTTTTTTAAAACAAATTTTTTGAAACGATTTTATATTTGCAAAATAGACTGTTTTATTTTTGACACAGAAACAGACGAATTTTTTACTAAAAAACCTGGAATTAACATATATACTGATATAAAAATTGCTAAAGAGCGGTTTTTGATGCCATATATTAGAAAGAGCCAGGAATATCATTTTTTTTC